ACGCTACTTCTATCTCTCTCTCTTACCCATCCAGGGGTTCAGGGCAGGTGGGGGAGTGGGGCAGGGCCATCTCTGAGAGAAACAGGGCTCAGCAACCTCTCTTCCTCTGCCTGTCCACAGGGCCTGAGCCCGGGCTGCTACGACACCTACAACGCAGACATTGACTGCCAGTGGATCGACATAACTGACGTGCAGCCCGGGAACTACATCCTGAAGGTGGGTGTCAGCAGACCCCCGATTCTGGAATAGACTTCGGCCTCGGGCAGGCTTCCTCCCCCAGTTGCTGAGCAGAGGCCTTATCCTGAGGCTGCCCACCAAAGCTCCCCCCCCCCACACACGGGAAGGGCTTCGTCCCAGGCAGACGCGGCTTCTTTCTGTAAGGACACCTAGGGGTCCTCAGCCCAAGGTGGTGGTGCAGGAGGCGGAGACTTTGTGTCCCAGAGATGATAGAGCAACAGAGAGCAAGGAAGGCTTTGGGTAATCTGTGTGGTCCATCCCTGTGACTCCAGGCCAGGGAACCAGGGGACACCTGGGAGAGGACATGTCCCTTCTCCAAGAGGGAGTTAGTCCTTAGAGTGACGGTGCTTCTGTGGCATGAGCTCATCCAGCCTGGGTCCCTCTTACCCCAGGGTAGGGCCACTCCACCCCTGCCCTTGCTGGGGGCATGGGCAGAAAAGCACGCTCAGGGTACACAGTGGCCCTGGGGCCAGCTGCAGGCTGTGCAGGTGCTGGGTGTGGTGAGCAGCCCTCAGTCCCTCTGGATGCTCCGGAGAACACGAGCAGAGAAGATGGGGAGACAACACAGGTTGCTGGCAAGGCTGCGTTCAAAACACAAGGACCAGGAGCCCGCTGTGCAGCCCCCACCCAGCCTCATCCCGGGGCGGGACTGGAAGGTGGCCTCCTGGGCCTTCCTCATGCATCCAGCCCTCAAGCATGTATGAAGGCCGTCCCAGTCTGGGCAAGTCAGACAGGCCTGCCCTTCAGGGTTATCTACCAGGACTGACTCCTCACTGACCAACTGTCTCTGGTAGCCGACGTGTCGCTGTGACGTGAATGGCAGTAATGGGAGCCAAGGGGGGAGCGGGGAGTGATGCTGCTGGCCACTGGCTGAGGCTATGTGTCATGATTCTCAGGGGTTCAGCACTTGTGAAATGATGTCATTTGCCAGTTTTGTGATCTAACGTAGTCACCTTCCATTTTCATACAATGCCGAGTTTCACACTGCCTGATCCTTCAAACCCAGCCATGTCGCTAAGTGAGGTGTGGGTACAACGTGATCGCATCTTCCTTCATTGTTCTGCACATAAAGTTGACCCCTAGCCCGACGAGGCCCCACCCCAGTAGGCCAACATTTAAAAGGCTCTCCTGTGTCCTCTATCCGTTTCCATAAAAAAAAAAAAAACAAAGCTCGCTGCCATCAAATCAGTGCTGACTCATAGTGACCCCTGTGTGTTTCCAAGACTATAAATGGTGACAGGAGTAGAAAGCCCACTCTTTCTCCTGCAGAGAGCTACTGCTGGTCTCAAACTGCCGACCATGTGAATCGCAGCCCAATTCGTAACCACTACACCACCAGGGTGCCCACCTGGTTTCCCAGGTAACAAATCACTACACACTGGGTGACGTAAAACAACAGAAATTTATTCTCTCACCATTTAGGAGGCTAGACATCCCCACCCCCACCCTGTCAGCAGGGCTGGGGTCCTCTGGAGGCCCTGAGAGGGAACCAGTCCCAAACTAGCCATGGAGCCACAGGACTCCGGCTCCTCCGGGTTACTTGACACGGCCTTCTCCGTGTCTGTCTGCATCCCCGCCGCCTCCTGTAGGGACACCGGTCCGTAGACGGAGGGCTCACCCTCAACCCAGGAAACGTCATCTCAAGAGCCTTAACTAACAACATCTGCAAAACCCCTGGTTCCAGTTAAGGTCACAGTCAGAGGTTTGGGGTGGGTCTGAATTCGGGGGACACTGCGACCCACGGAGGGAGAAAGCTGAGCCATCTGCTCCCATCAAGATGTGTGTGCAGCCTCAGGGCCACCGTGGGCGGCAGTCAGCTCAAGGGCCACAGGGCTCTCCAGCCCACTGCATGGCCAGCATCTGTTTGGTTTTTCGGTGAGTGTCAGGGGTACCCTGGCCCCACGCAGGATGTGCCATGTGGCAGCAGACAGGCCCTGATCTAGAGGGGGCTCCGGGTGAGAGCTGTGAGTCTCAGAGTTGGCTGGGAGAGGCGCCGAATCCCTGCGTGGCCCCTTCCTCTCACCTGTGTCCACAAGGCCCTCCCCAGCCTCTCTGACCCTGAGTGCTGGGCAGGACCCCGCCCGGGCTCTGGCTCTGCCTTGGGCAGCTGCAGCTCCTCCGAGGGGCTGCCTGATGATGCTTGCACCGTACGAGGTCCTACTCCCAGCTCACACGGTGGCCAGGTGATGCGCAACCCCCCAGCTGCACCCCTCTCTCCCCCCCCTCTTCCTGCAGGTGCACGTGAACCCCAAGTACATAGTTTTGGAGTCTGACTTCACTAACAACGTGGTGCGATGCAACATCCACTACACAGGTCGCTACGTGTCTACAACAAACTGTAAAATTGTCCAGTAAGTGCTCACCTGCCCACGCCACGCCCCACCCATTTCCTACCTAGGGAGCAGACTCACACTGTTGGGTCCCCTTGTTGGTCCAACAGAGCTGAGGCTGGGGCAGCCCACCACCTGGTAGAGAGAGCCTTGCCCAGACCAGCCTGCACTGACACACGTGGCGGGGTTCAATCCGAGGGGGCTGTTTGGGGGCCTCATTGTCTGACTCCAGAAGATTTCTCAAGGGGAAGCCAGCAAGGGGCAGCAGGATCAGGGCTCAGCGTGTGACCAGGCTCAGGGCTCAGTTGGGTGACCAGGCTCCGGGCTCTGTCTGACCAGGCTCAGGGCCCCTTGAGAGGCCGCTTTTAACTTGACTGCTACCCTACCGCTCCGCTAGTAGCTCACAAACCCACACATAATTACAAATGAGAACCAAAGTCTGGAATTCAATACAGAGGCTGGATTTCTTGGGAAAGGAATTAGATCAGAGTTTTCCAACATGTGTCGGGACCACTGGCCCCTGCCCCTCCCTGGGAGCTGGCTTCTTAGGCAGCAGGGTCTCAGGCCCCTGCCTGCTGTCCAGTCAGCCATAAAGTCCAGGGAAGGAGAAGGAAGAGCCTAGCAGGTGAAAGAGGGGGCTGTGCAGTGGGGGACAGGAAGCATGCTTCCACTCAGACCCCCACCTGCCTCCTGCTGGGAATGGTGGATGGAAGCAGCACCCCGTTTCCCAGGCAGTACCACGGGGAACCTTGACACCCCCCACCCCCCCTTGCTGGTCCTGCCTCTTGGCTTCCCTGGGGCCTGTGGGCAGCAGGGCAGGCCAGGGCCCTTCCCCTGAGCCCTTTACATAAGTGCTTGGAAAGGGCTGGTGAGCGCTCTGTGGCTCTGACCACAGGCAGGCGGGCGGCCCGGCCAGCACGCACAGGAAGCCGGAGGGAGCTTTCCCAGAAAGGCCAGGGGCCTGACGCCTGTGGCTTGCCATCATGTTTCTGAAGAGGAAAGGGAGGATTTATTTTATTTTATGTTTTAAAGTACTGAATTAGAAGGAAAAAAAACCCAAGAAAGAAAATACTTCAGACAGTAGCAGCTCTGCTACCCATTGTGTGGGCACCCACCTGGGAGCAGAGCCTCCGTGGGGAAGGGCCCACGAGCCCTCTTCCAGGAGCCGGCTGGCCGGAACTGGGAGCAGCTTCCTCCCCTGAGGGATGTTCACACAGGGAGCTGGGGTTGGTGGTAAGGGAACCCTAGTTGGGTCTGACCAGGCTCAGGGGAGGGGGACGGAGCCCTCAGCCTGCCTGTGACCTGCTGTCTTTCCTTCTCTAGGTCCTGATCTCAGAGCAGCTGGACAGAGGGCCAATCTCGCCCCTTCCCAAAGCGGGCCCCGCTCCCCAGGCAGCCCCCTGCCAGAATGCACCAGGCCCAGGGGGCCGTGCCCCACTCCAGCCATCGCCAGGGCCAGTTGGATGCCCGGCGTCCCTCCCTGCCGGCCTCAGGGAGCAAGCGGGGGCCAAACCCACAGGGATTCCCGGTGCCAAATCCATGTGTGTTTGTTTTTGTTTTTTTTGTGCTTACCTTCTCTCTAAAACTTTGTTTTGTTGGTTGCTGGTTTTTATTTTTTAGATTTGGGCCATACCACAGAGCAAGCGTGCGCGGTGTGGGCTGAATAAAATAGGGTTTTTCTACCCTGTGCCTCTGCATGTGGCCTGCGGCTGCGCTACACGGTCTCAGAGGAGGCCATTTGTCTCTTCACCCTGCCTGAGATGACCCAGGAGGAGAGCCAGGACACAGCTGGACCATGAGAGCCAGATGCCCGCCCCATTGTGGAAATCCAGCCCATGGCATGGGCGATAGACCCCTCCCAAGAGTGGAGGGGGAAACCTGCAGCACACCCCTCACCGGCTCCGTTACCCACATCTTCACGGCCCCACTCCTTGGGCCCTGCTTGCAGCCCAAGCTCCCCGGTACCACGTCCTGAACCTCCCTATGGGCTCTCCCCTCCTCACTGCCCGTCCACTGTGTCCATGGCGCCGACTGAACACCAGGCCCTCATAGGAGCCTCAGACAGGCCTCTTCTTCAGGCCTGCACCTGGGAGAGTTCAAAGCCAAGTTTTGTGGGGCTCACCTGGGAGACTGGTGGGCCCTTCATGCAGGAGGCCGTGTCTGACCCAAAAGGAAGAAGAGGATTCTTGGCAGAGGGGACAGCAGTGAACAGACCACAAGATGGGCCTGGTGGCCGATGGGCGATGGGGGAGGCCCAGGGCTGTCCAGCCCCAGCCCATAAGCCCGAGCATTTTCCTTTCTCTACCACCCCCCACTGTCCCCCACCCCCCACCTTCCCAGGGGCCCTGCAGTTCCTCTGCACCCACCTGGCTCCTGGCAGGGACCCTTCTTCCTGGGAAGGAACAAGGACCCTCTGCTCTGAAAGGACAGCCTCCCTCTGAGACCCAGCCTCTGGCTCCAGGGCCAATGCACGTGCATGATCCTGGGCCAGTGCTGTACCTCGATGCCTCCCTTTTCTCATCAATGAAGCCTAACCAGTGAGCTACTGTGATGGCAGCCCTGGGGAGGTCCAGGGGTCATCCCCCCCGCCCCACCCCCATTTGCACTCAGCTCTTGCCTTAAGGCCTGTGGGAGGAAGTGGACCCTCTCCTGGGCCACACTGCCCTTCCAGGAGGGTTCTGGCCAGCCCCTTAGAGCCCCCAGGCCACTCCCCAACCCAGGCAGCAGGCTGGAGTGGAGTGTGGCCGCAGCCCCTCCCTCCACTGTCTCTCAGCTACAGCTCTTTTTCGTGCCAGTGTGGGCGGATGCTCACCGGTGAGGCTCAGGCCCGGAATCAGGGTTGAGTGGAAGGGAGAAAGAGGCCCCTACCAACCGTGGGTAGGGGCCCACAAACCAAAGGAGTGCCAGGGAACCATGGACCTGCCTGTCTACCTGCACATGTGAGGAGGTCCTGGGGGCTGGCAGATGTCAGTCAGGCCTGCACTCAGGAATGTGGGCACCCCGGTCGGTACCCACATGCTGGAAGTGACCCCCTAGGGGTAGCCTCTGAATTTGTCCCCCCAAAAGAGTGAAGGCTTCCCAATAGCAACTCTGGACCCAGACAGAGTGGGGACAGCCATGGGTGAAGTATCCTCGGGGTCTGAAAGAGCATCACTCGTCCACCCACCTTCACCCACCCTCACCCCGCGGGGCGCGCGCGCTCGCGCGTGCACACACACACTGCCCAGCACAGCACCCCCTGAGGACAGCCCTTCCGGGAGGGAGCTGCTGGCTCCTCCCACCTCAGGGCAGGGCTCACCAGGTATCTGCCTCCAGACAGGCCTGCGGAGTGGAGGCAGAAGTTGTAGGGACGGCAGGTGTGGCGCACAGGTGTGTGGCAGCCAGGTGGTGGCTCTGAGCTGAGCGGGGATGCCGCAGGTGGGGTCTCTCCTCACCTCTGCCTCTTGAGGTTTTTCTAAAGCTGTCACTGCAGGTTCTGACCATCAGTCACCTACCCACCGAGGCTCACCTAGGGGGAGGCAGGTCACCTAGATCCCTCCCACATCCAGGGCCAGAGGAGGATGAGCGTGGGCATCCATCCTGTGAATCCCAAAGCCCCTCTACCTTGTCCTTCAAGGGCCACCTTAGCTACCCCCTGCCCCTCACTTCCTGGAAGCCTTTCCTATAGCTCTCCCCTCCCCAGCCCCCTGCCATGGGGTCACATGGGACTGGCAGGCCTCCCCATGTGGGGTCACATGAAGGACACAGAGGGCCCCTGGTGTGCAGTGCTGGAGGCGAGGCCCTGGCTCAGGAGGGGCAGGAGGGTGGGAGAGTAGAGCAGGAGAGAGGGGGAGGGTGCGGGACCCCGTCTCCCCGCTGCTGGTGGCCATGGCTCAAGAAGGCGCTGGTTTGCCTTTGTGGGGAGGGCCTCTGAGCTAAGCAGATTCCCAGGTCCTGTCTGGGTGCTCCCACTCATGTTCCCCAGGGCACAACCTGCCACACAGAGGCGACCCAGTGCTGCCTTCAAGAGGGTCACAGACAGGGTCACTGCATGGGCACTGATGAAAGGATTGGGGGGGAGGGGTCTGTGCCACCTCTTCTAGGTCGTCTTTTTCCTCAGCCCCACGACAGGAAGTGCACCCCCTCTCCTGGCAGACACCCCAAGTAGAATCTGGCCCCCTCCTGTGACTGCCCCCCTGGTCTGAGCCACCCTCACCAGGCAATGACAAACGGGTGGGTGGGCATGTGTGGCGCTCGGGAAAGACAGAGCGGGGTCACTGCTGGTGGCAGGGCCCCATCTGGGCTCTGAGGGACTGTGCTAGCCTGTCTGACCCCGAGGAGTTGGGGTGGGGAGGAAAGGGAAGGGACAGAGAGAGGTGCTGGGCAGAGTCCAGCCTGGGAGGGGCTCTAGTAGCGCAGGGCAGCCCGTGGAGGGCTGGGAGTTAGACGGAGACTGAGCACCAGGCTGGCACCTTCAGAAATGCTTCCCATGGCAGCAGGCTGCCTGGCAGCCTGGTGCCTGTGTGGCCTCTGGTAGGCAGGTGGCTGGGTGCAAGGGCCAGGGACAGGGCATGACAAGGAGCCAGGGGCAGGGCTGGGGATGAAAGCCAGCACCATGGGACCACCTCAGAGCCAGAGCCCCCATCCTCACCCCGTCCCCACGCCCCAATGCCTGTAACTCCATGCTGTGTCCCAGCTGCCCAAGGCACCAACACCCTTCCTAGGAGACTGCCATCTAAGAGACCCGACATGTTGTCGCTGTAGCTGCCACTGAGCGATTCCCACTCAGGGTGGCCCCTCCGGTGCAGAGCGGGCCGTCCGGCCCACAGTGGCTCCGAGTGTGCAGGACAGGACTGTTCTGTAGAATTTTCCAGGCCGGGCCCTTTCAGAGGCGGATCAGCAGGCCTTTCTTCCAGGCCCCTCCCAGTGGGTCAGCAATCAAGCGCTTAAACACTTGCATCACCAGGGAGGTCTTTTCGCCCCAAGAAACAACAGCGATCTTATCCAGAGCTAGGAAGGGCCTGCAAGGGCATTTACAGGTTTAGG